CGTTTCAATATGCTCAACGCATGACCGTAATTATGTTTGAAGAATTGAAGCCCGAAGGCGCAAGGAGTAACTTCAGAGGTGCTTAATTTTTTCCTCCGCTGTTCCAATGTTTCGTAGAGCCGATCTTGTCATACGCTATTCGTTTAATAAAAAGAACTCCAAATGTATGACCCTTACGTGAAAAAATGCATTTTGTTAGCCAAACCCCCAAATGATCGCCCCTCTTCATGAGTCTGTGCAGGCAGAATCTGAAGCCCTTTTTTTTCATAGTATCCATCATATTCTAGTCAATTAAAAAAGGATTCTGTTTGTCAGTTTAATCATTTGAATTTTGACTGTAACATCCTGTTGCTTTTTCTCTAGACTTTAAAAATGATGTTGATTTTGGAAATGGGAAGAACAGTTGACCAATCTGTTAGGATTACACATTCAATGTAAATATATCCTTATTTTATTCATGTGGCTGTTGGATTCTCCGGGGGTAACACTTTCCCTAATCTTTCAAATGTAACAATAACAGAGGGAAAGTCCGTGCCATCTCTGTATTAATGGTCGCAAAGGGAACTTACGACAGTGATGATTTACCTTTTAATTTTCTAAAGAAGTCTGGTATTCCTGGAGAAAGGGAAGCAGCATGACCTGACGGTACCCAAATGCAAGCTCTTGCCGTGAAGTTTGTTTTTAGGGACCTGATTTTGAATGCGGTACCAAGATGGACGATTTCATGTCTGGTTTTGATACTGCAAATGTCATCTCTTCCTCTTCAATTTGTTCTTAATTAAATTTCTTTACAATTTAATGTTTTATGTGGATTGTTTCGTCTGCTGACTGACTTCTGACCTTTAAAAAAGGATTACTTTCTCAGGAACTTTGTTTTCATCAGGTTTTATTTTTTTCTAATTAGCCTTGTTTTGGAAAAAAAACCCCAAACAACCCAACCCTTTCTCTCCCTGTTTTGTACATTAGATGCCCCAAAAGTTTGGGAGTCGTTTCAGACATTGTTGCTGACAATCTGTGTGTTTGTACCAGATCATTGAACCACAGGAAGATTTATTTGGCAGTGCAGAAGCAGCATTTCTAGAACTCGTGTCAGTCGTCTTCTTTAGCTTTATAGGGTCTTCAGCAAAAACGTGCCGTGTTTCTAGTCTAGGATCTGGAAGGCAAAACGTAGTGTGATGCACCTGTTGGCTTTTAAAGCTGACTTCTTTAATTTTCCTGATGCACACATGCCTTCTTCCTAAACTTTTGCTTGATAAGGTTTGAATGCTGGGTCTCACAAACCAAAGCGATTTCCTCCGTGCCTTGCAGAGTAGCCGGTGTCTCTCTGAATTCTTCCTGCAGCCCTTTTTGTCTCCCCAGCTGCTGCTAGCATGTACTGGGTCTATAGAAGTCGCTCAAGCCCTTGCTATTTATTAAATAACTGGACTAGTTAAAGTCTCTGTGTTTTCATAGAAAGCTTTGTTTAGGAAGTGAGGTTCCCAAAGAAAGCAAACTTTGGACCCTTAATGTTTAAAAACAAGCACATCCTTTGTTTTGAATGTTACCGGCAACCATCCATTGTCCTAAACAGATTGCTTAGAACAGTCAGCCATCCTTCCAATGATCTAAACCCTTTCCTTCACTCTTCTCCTGTAAGTGCATCTGTCTTCCAAAATACTGTTGTCTTTTTGCCAAAGCACTGAATTATATTGCTGAATGTATTTTTAATGGGTTTTTAGCGGGGTTGTTACGTGGCTCGTAGATACGGCGCCGCTCACGAACTACAACGCTTCATGCTGCTTTTGACTAGGAAATGTCCCGAAAAAGTCAAATCCCTTCACACTGAAGTATTTCTGTCTTTTCTCATATGGATTTCCCTGAATTAAATGTCTCATTTGCAGTAACTTGCTTTAGGGCTGCCTTTCTAACTTTTCTTGCTAGATGACATACTCGGAACGAGGCAGCTGAAAGCTCTCCTGCCTGTGATCATTTATGGATAGAGAACAGAAAGCCAGCACGCTTCAGTTTTCTAATATTGCTTGCACATGTTTTTGGGATGTCTTTCTCTACTACAGGTAAATCATATTTCTAACGTCATGGTGAACTTTTTATCTACTTGAAAAACACTCCGCTGTCGTTAGCATTACGTTTCTCTTCAGTCATCAGAGGGCTGTTATGAAATGCGGTTCCTAAAGACCTGTTCGTAGAGGAACATTTTAGATCCTAATACCAACTGGATAGATTTATACATCTGAAATTCATTTAGCCTTTATATCAACTATCTTTCTACTTAAGGGCTAATTTTTCATGCCTAATTTGCACATGCAGTAACTGTGACCGAGTATGCAGTTACGGTAAAAATCTGTGCAAACCGCAGGCCTTTCATCTCTTCCAGTTTTACACCTTTGGCCACTGCAACAGGAATTTCACGTATAAGGGAAAAGAAATAAGCACGCCTGGCTTTGAAACTCTGTGCCTGATGTCTTAGGTCTGTAGCCGAAAATCATCTTCTCTGACTCTACCCCGTTCAGCTCGTTCCTGGTTTCCACGCTTTCCTCTGCAGTCATATTCTCTCCGTGCAGGTACTGGTGTCTGGATCCAGTATTTCATGGCTGTCCCTTATCACACTGACTAAATGACTCTATGATCAGTACGTGGAAGAAGGTCTTTTCCTGTCTTCCCTCCATCGAGCAATTTCTGGGACGTTTTATATCGCAGCTCTGGCACCCATAATCTTTCTCAAGCTCTTCTGCAACAGGGCTTTGGGTCTGCTAGTATGAACGGCTCACTGCACCTGGGAGTATCTCATCCCAGATAGCCTATATTGCTTTTAATTTCTCTTTGAGTTAAGTGACATCCTGAAATATCCCATGGATTATGCTGTAACAGTTAAAATTCCTAGCTAGACTGCTTTTCTGTGACTTACAGTTGATTCAGTCACTTCTCCAAACAGAGCAGCAAACAACGTGAAAGTCATTAAAATGTATTTATGAATGAAATATGGACACTTTTCAAAACAACCCCAGAGCTTTATGGCATACACCAGTTTTCTCGTCCACACCAACAGCTGAAGTCGTGTAAAGAGTTAAAGCACAACTATTTTTTTTGGATGTTACTGCAAACATTTATAAACCCATCTCTCTGTGTAGTGCACATTAGTAATAGATTACACCAAGAAATGTGGTCTCAGTATTTACAGTACAGAATGTGCTTTCCTTTTGCTGACACCTATGGAAAGGAAACTGTTGCACAGCAGCAGATGATAATTTCAGTCGATTTTCCTCCTTTCCTACTCCCACCCCCTTTTTGGAGACAGATTGTAGGGGTTGTAAAGCCATCTCTAAGTAACGTGCTTGCTGTCACTCACCAGGGAGAAATCGTTGGGCCTTTAAAGTGCGTTTGCATTGGCTTTTCAGTGCCAGTGTTTTTCCTCCCGTATGTTCTTTATTTCAAATTGCTTTTTGAACAGATCTATAATAACAAAATTCAGAGCATCAGAAAACCATGTGTTTAAAACTTATGATGATGACTTAAGAGATACAGGACACCACTTGATTGTGTTAGATCAGTAACCTGCAACTTCCAGTTTCTGGCTCTCAGCTCGTTCATAACACAAAGCAAAGTACAAAGCTCCTGGTTTGTGCAAATCTGGAATTTTTACAGCTGTAGGCTTCAAATCATTTGTATTACAGGAGCAGACCACATCCTGCTCGTAGGACTATACAACAGCTTAAGCAAGTACTTCACAGGATCAGGATCCTATCCGAGAGTATGATTGTAAACCCAGTATGTTGAAAAAGATTATTCTATTTCGCAGGGTATGGAAAGCAGCTGATACCAAAAGGAAAATAAAGGTTTTTAAGAGATCCTTCAAACATAGTCACATTGACTAAAAACATGCATTACAGCTTTGGATTGAGTTTTAATTGCAGTATTGCACATCTAATTCTGAAAAGTTTAGAAGTACTGAAGTTTGTGTGCTGTGTGTTCACACAGTTCTGTTGTAATCTGTGGCTTTTGAACCTTGGAGTTTACTTCTTCAAGTGTTTCTTCTGCAGCCATGAAGATTATAAATTGCTCTTAACATCCAGTCAGATGCCTTCCACTGTTGATGCTTTAAGCACAACACAAACCGCACTGAGGTTTACAGTGAAACGGTGAAAGCCTGGAGCACTATGAGGAGGACCCTGAAACAGCTGACAATGCACAACATGTTTCCTTCCCAGTTTTAAAGCCATTTGTCCAGATGTGAAAACAAGTATTTCTTGTCATACCTGAAAGAGTCGTTTTGCTCCCTCTGTCTCTTGTGTAACGAGGCTTCCCCTTTGGGTGCAGAGGTTGCACGTGATAATGAACCTGGTTTAAGTTGGCAGCGGGACTCGATCTATGAGAACTTCGTTTCAGTTCAACTCACGAGTCTATGTTGCGTTTATATAACAGTTTGGCAACGTAGCACCAAATGCTGGAAAGCGCATAATGTGTCTCTGTAAATGACTTAACGCTAGTAGTAACATTTTCAGAAGATGATGATTTTGTACTGTGTCATTATTGGGTTCTGATGAATTGCAAACTGAGCTTTAAAGGAGTTTTTTCATGTTGAGCTTTTACACGTCTTCTTACTTATCAGACGTATTGTGGGGTGCTGTCAGTGATAAATAAAGCTTCATCCTGTTTTTGCTTTGGAGCATCGAATCCTTTTGTTGGTCAGTGTTGCACATCTTGGATGTAACAGTGAGGTTGCCATGGATAGAAGCGTACATCAGGAAATTTCATAGACCGCTGGCATTTTTAACTGCATAACTGCGCACATGTATGATTACTTAATTCTGTGCGTGGCTCTTGAAATCACACCACTGTAGAGCTTTGGCATTTCTCGTAAGGTCATTGTATTCCTTTAGGCAGTGTCAAGCATAGTTGCTTTGTTCACCTTGTGTGCATGACAGCGTGTGTCGTCTAAGCATTTGCCTGAAAGTATGGATTTATGCTAATTTTCACCCCTTTGTGTTTCTCTCTAATTAAAGGTCACCTATTTTATAAATTTGGAATCTCAGAATCTGACTGGTATCGAATCAAGCAAAGCATAGACTCCAAATGCCGAACAGCTTGGAGACGGAAACAGCGAGGCCAGAGTCTTGCCGTGAAAAGCTTTTCAAGGCGAACACCGTCGTCGTCGTCTTACAGTGGTTCAGGTAAAAAACCGACCAAACAGAATCCCTCCAAACCCACAAAACACAAGCAAACCCAGGCAGAAATGGAAAACTTCGGTAATAATGCCATTTGGTTTTCAGTTTATGTGAGAAAGGTTTTGATCGTAAGTTACACTTACAGCAGGTGCATGTGTACCTACCAGTTAAGAGTATTTCTGTGTAACAAAGATAAATGAAGAAACCCACACTTCTCCCAACTGAATTTGAGGTGGATTTTATATTGTTGCATATTTTTTTGAAGTACCATTTATCACTGGCCGAGAGGCCTCACTATTACAGTGTACGTACGTCTACAGTGCTCCTCAAGGAGTGTATCCATGTAGTAAGTGAAGTAGTTAAAACATCGTGGGCCTTGAGTGCAAGCCAACCACCTTCTGGTGCATTTGGAATCCTTCCCAGTTTCGTGGTGCTTGTACCAAAGCAGCTCACTGGTAGGATGAGCTTCTAATACTGTTTCATTGCAGTCATGCTCCTGGTAGCAGAGCATTCATGGTCCTGGAAAGCAAGTGAGATATGTGTGTTTGTCCACAAAGAGAAGAGGGAGAAGGGAGTCAGTCTCTAAAACAGTGGTAAAATACAGATTTTCCAGAAATGAAAGTGCAGTATATGCCAGTGTGAGAAAGAGATTGGCTCTGTTGATCTGTACATTATCTGAATGCCTGGCTTCACCGAGATGCTGAAGAACGTCCATCCACGTGTGCTGACTGAAAAAATTCAGCAGATGCAGCTTCGTGCTATTATATGTTTTTTTTACCATGTTCAATTTTTTGAGTAGAGGGTCAAAATGTTTCTGTAACTGATGTTCGTAAGAGGAGTCAAGTCAATAAATCTTTCTCAGTGTGTTCACACCATTTAGTAGGACGTGCTAAATTTTGTTCCTGAAGTGTTTTCCTCTGAAGAAATTAAATACGTTGTAGGTGATTCTGTATTTCCATATAGGTATGTAGGCGTGAATAATAATAGCACATGAAAAATACTGACCCAAGTAGTGTTCTCATAGGACATTTCTGGCTCATGCTTTTAATATAAAGCAGTGTTACGGGACATTTGTACACCATATATTAAAAACAGTGTTTTGGAAGTGAGCCCAAAGAAAAGGAAGTAAGTTTATTTGCCTGCATAAAATTTTTGGTTGCATGTTAACACTAACCACTGTATCTCATGCAAAGAATGCCAAAATCTGCTTTCAATGGAAAATTTTATGTGCTGGAACTGGGAATCATATCCAAAATTCTCAAATTAAAACTACTAATCAACGTAATGGTAACCATAAGCCATATATGTTGATGGGATTTTTATTTTCAGTCTCTTAGCAATCAGTATTTTAGAATAAAAATGCAGTAGTAAGTGGATAGTATGGGCCTGTGCTCATTAGACCCTACTCCTTGACTGTTGTTGAGATTTATTATTAATCTTTAATAGCCTGGTTTTGAGATGTGGGGAGTCCTGTGTAGGGATGTAAGACACAAGCTCAGGCTCACTGAGTTCTTGCCTTCAGAAGGGCATAAGATGATAAGTCTTGGTGGGTGGTTTTTTTTTGTTTGTTTTTGTTTTTTGTTGTGGTTAAGCTGAAAACTTAGTTTCTTGCCCCCAGTTCCACTAAACTGATTTGTGGGTCCGTTGTTCCATGGGTGCAAAGACTCCCGAGTGAACTCCTGTGATTTCAGCAACAGGGTCTCTGAGCAGGGGAGGGTGGCGTGGCACACCCACGCACCCAAGCTGGTTCTGCAAGAGCCGTACTTCGGGCTGTGCGCCCTGGCTGGCTCGTCTGGCTGGAGCTGAGCTGGCCGCCCTTCGTACATCAATCTCCAGGGTTTTCCCCGGGGTTTTCATGCTGCCTAGGTCTCCCCCAGCACAGGCCATCTCCCCCCCCAAGTCCCCTAGATAGCAAAGAGGCGACTGCGTGTCCTTACAAAGATGTCTTTGGTGCTGAAGATGAAGTAGGTCAGCTGAGGCATCTTGGCACATCATTGGCAGGAGTGTATAGGCGGTGCAGCCAAAAGTAGAGTACCGGCAATAACATTAACAGCTGCCTTTGGTAACTGTATGTGACAATGTTCTCATGGATTCAGAGTCTTTTGTTGATTTTCTTTAAAATACTGCTCTTATTCAGAATGTCATTGGCATCATTTTCTGGAAGGCTGTAGAGCTGTTAGATGAATTCACCACTACGCTCACGCCCACTGTGAAGAAGCTGTTAGGAAAACAACCGTGTCTCAAAGTCAGGTGGTCCTTTGAGAAATGAATTTGCATTCCAAAATCAGGTGGGAGGGGTATTTCACCTGAAGAAGGAAGAGGAGGTATGAGGAAAACCAGGAGAGCTGGTTGAGAAAGTGGAATGAGTACATAGGGAAATGAGAGAGAAGATGCAAAGAAAAAATGTAGGCTGACACATGTTTGAAAAGGTAACTTTTGTGTGACAAGGCTGTAATTCCACCGCTGTGTTCAGGTCATGAACCGC